GCTGTAACTTTACCTGCGGGTGTCGCTGTTTGACAGTGTTACTTTATAAAAACGAGTGACTTTTAGACTTTTAATGCCATATTTAGTAATATTTGCGATGTATGTTTGTAATATCGATTATTTTCTCATCCAATTTTTTGAGGAGACACTGCCTCCCTCGCCTCCTCTGAGGAAACGCCCCTGATATATCTCCACTTGGCTGTCTGGCATCATGTACTCGGCCACTTTCAAACAATATTTTCCAGCCCTCCATACACATACAGACAGATCCGTATATTCAAAGCTGTCTGTACATTATGAAGGGCTGTAGTAATATTCCACACACCGCTGTCATACAAACACATTCAAGTGACAGCCTTTACATCAGCTATTCGAGATCAGCTTTTCTATAGTGCATTAGAAAAGTGGCCATAAGAAGTCAGGTTTAGAGTGAAGTAATCTGTTACTAATTATTAATATGTTGATTATTTTAGATTGTTGGATGGTTTTACTAATTAATTAGACTGAACAGCCATACAGTACTCATTACTTATGTTCATAACATAAAACATAAGTTACCTGCTGTTGCTGTACTTCAGTCTCTGTGCATTAGTTTAATCTTGCTGTCAAATGCATGGACAGATTGTTTGATTCTTATATTGAGGTTGATATGGGTTTTTATATGGGCAAAACGTTTGGATTTTAAAGTCTGATTGGACACTTAATGTTTAAAAAATCTATAAAAACGCATTTTATTTTATTTTATTTTGTTTTATTTTTCCACCCAAATACTCCAGTCCTCAGTGTAATGAATATAAAGTTTTTATTTGAAACATAAATCTTTTGTAACATTATAAATGTTTTACTGTCTCTTTTGATCAATTAAATGTGTCCTTGCCTAATAAAAGTATAAAACAAAATGTAAAAAATCGCACTGACCCCAAAATTTTGAACGGTAGTGTATATGTGTGTGTGTATATATTATTCATTATTATTAATATTAATTATTCTAGAACATAATGACCTAATGAAAGTGCATTACAATAATTGTGATTCACTTAATTTTATATCACCAGCAAAATCATTGTAAATATATGATGAATACACAATATATCACGCAGCCTCAACCTCAATTAGCAGCCAAATCAAAAAAAGCACACTAATTTTTAGCAAATCGTTATTTGGATTTTTTTTTTCTAGTTTAAATTAAGCATTGTTCATCAAAGCCTATTTTGCTAGTTGCTCCACCCAGCACTGATTAGTAGAAACCGAAATTTGTGAACACATGCACTGACTTTTTTCTGTTCCATGTAGTGACTGAAGTCTGCTAACACTGAAATGCTTATTTCTCTGGAGGACAAATCTTTGACTATTGTCTTTTCTGCAATGATGTTTGGCGAGATAAATGAGCTGCGTCATGAAAATTGGTTTAATCAAAAGCTCGGGGATAATAATATCTATATCCGGGATAATTCTCTCCTCTCGACAATAGTTTACTCAAATGCAAATAGCACAAGTGCAGCACTTATTTCCTTATAAATATGCATGTCATATAATCATATGCTGATTTATAAAACAGGCGAGAAGGAAAAAGGTACTTCAGAATCAGACACTGTACAGAAAATATCATTAATTCAGCTGTCTTTTGGGCATGAAAACAGCGATGTGGAAAGTGCGTTACAATGCGTGTTTGCGGTGCTTCAACCTCATCTGCTTTTTAACATCTTATAATTACAATTTCAATTGTGTTTTAACAAATATATTTGAAATATTGGTTTTATAACAGGCTTTTAAAAGGTTGTTTACATGGTTTTGATTAGTAGAGTGTGTAGAAGAAAGTAGCAGAATGATGGTGGAAAAGTGTTCAGACAGCAGTCGCAAAGTTGCAATGTTTATGAGCTTGTATTGGATTGCTTGATAACAGGCCACGCCTACTCTACAGCTTAATGAACCAATCAGTGACCAGTTATACTTGAAAAACCATATACGCTTAATATTTATTAGAATATATACAATTATTATTTATTTTTTTAGTTTAGTTTTTAATAATAATAATAATAATTATTATTATTATTATTATTATTAGTTCAACAGTAGAAAATGCTTCCCATATATTTTATGTTATGAATAATTGTATCATTTACTGTTTCAAAATATATAGACAATAAATTGGGCATCAAGTGGCATCCCAACACAATATTTAACATATGTAACTATTGTATTTATTATTTTATTTTAATATTTAACACATTTAATGTTTAATGTAGTCTGGCTGTATTTTTATTCTTATTCTTTATTTACCAAATATTTACAAATATATATATTTTTGTAAGTGTGACTGGTCTCTGATTGGTTGTCTGAGATGCAGAATGGGTGTGGCCTATTTATCAAGCAATCCATTACAAACTCATATACCAGTTTGAGGAATCATGTTTGCAAATTATGTTTGGTGAAGTTAATGGTACAGAAATGACACACTTCTGCTGTAAAACTATAAAACCACTGTTTAAAAAAAAATGGACAAGGAATGTGGTCATCTGTCAGATTATAAATAATGAAAAAGAGCACCTGGTGAAGGAGTCATATGTGTGAATACATTATAATAGCTCGAGTCGATTTCCTTGCACTGCATCCGTCAAGATGAGATCAGCGCGATTCCGCCCGAGGGTCTTTTTACGGTTCGGTTGACAGCAGGACTGGCAGATGCTTATTCTCTCAGCCACCGTGACAACCTGAGTCCATTTTTCTGGCATGAGATCAAATTCAGTGGCTAAATCAGCACAAATATAAAATGTGGTGGTGCACGCCAGTGGTGGAAAGAGTACTGAAAAAATATACTCAAGTAAAAGTACCATTACCTTCCAAAAAATGTAGTGTGAGTAGAGTAAAAGTACTTGTCCAAAAAACTACTTGAGTAAGAGTAAAAGAGTAGCCTATTTAAAAGTACTCATGAGTATTGAGTAGTGAGTACTGAGCTGTGGATTCTACCCCCTCAGAATAAACGCTGTACACCGCAATTGATACATTTGAAAAACATTGTACATTCTGTAATTCACATTATCTTATTTGTCATAAAGAATGAAGAGTATCTATCATCCAGCAGTTTTAATTTTGACTGCCAACTCTTGAAAATACATCAAAACAGCACAGAAACAGTATTCAGTTGGCCAGCTGTATCGATACTCGTATCGTCAAATCTCTGTGACGATACATCGTCGTATCGATATTTTGAACACAGCACTAACGCACACGCTGCAGGAGAGAACTGTGGGTACGATTTGAAGTTTCAGCTCTGATTGAAGCCATCCTGTCATACGATCGAGTTCCACAGCTGTACATGTATGTGATTATGTTTTACTGCATCAGAAAGGCACTCTGACTCATGTTTCAGCAGCCGCAAAGCCAACATGAACGTGCGTGACTTAGTTTAGACTTCACAAATGAGATTCTTGTAACGTTATACATGCACAGAGACTCTGAATAAGCGAAACGGGGGAGTTTTATCTTTAGATTGTCTTTGGCTATGCAGATTCTGCAAACACATGTTCTCTGTACTTGTAAATGTTGAGTAAAGCAGACATTTGA